AAAAATTTCTTCGAAAATTCACCAAAAATTCACCAAAAATTCCCCCAAAATTCACCAAAAAGTCACCAAAAATTCCCCCAAAATTCACCAAAAATTCACAAAAAATTCACCAAAAAGTCACCAAAAATTCACCAAAAATTCACAACAATTTCCTCAAGAATTCACCAAAAATTCACCAAAAAGTCACCAAAAATTCTCCAAAAATTCACAAAAATTTCCTCAAAAATTCACCAAAAATTCACAAAAAATTCACCAAAAAGTCACCAAAAATTCCCCCAAAATTCACCAAAAATTCCCCCAAAATTCACCAAAAAGTCACCAAAAATTCACCAAAAATTCACAAAAATTTCTTCGAAAATTCACCAAAAATTCACCAAAAATTCCCCCAAAATTCACCAAAAAGTCACCAAAAATTCCCCCAAAATTCACCAAAAATTCCCCCAAAATTCACCAAAAAGTCACCAAAAATTCACCAAAAATTCACAAAAAAGTCACCAAAAATTCACAAAAAATTCACAAAAAAATTCACAAAAAAATTCACCAAAAAATTCACAAAAAGTACCCAAAAAAATTCACCAAAAATTCACAAAAACTTCCTCAAAAATTCACCAAAAAATTCACAAAAAATTCCCCCAAAATTCCAAAAAAATCCCCAAAAAATTCACAAAAAAATTCACAAAAAATTCCCCAAAGATTCCCAGAAAATTTCGGAAAAATTCTTGTAAAATTCCAAAAAAAACCCCGAAAAATTCAAAAAAAATACCCAAAAAAATTGTCAAAAAATTCCCGAAAAATCGCCAAAAATTCCCGAATAAATTCCCAAAAAATACCAAAAATATTCCCGAAAAAATGCCCCAAAAATTCCCAAAAAATACCCGAAAAAATGCCAAAAAAAATCCAAAAGAATCCCCCCCAAAATTCCAAAAAAATTCTGTAAAAATTCCCAAGAAATTCCCAGTTTTTCCCCTGGGGAAGCTCCGGAGGTTTTGGGGGATGGCTTTGGATTCGGGCGTTTTCCATCCCGCAGGTCAACGTGGATCCCGAGGATCTCATTCCCAAAATTCCCAGGCCGAGGGATCTGCAGCCATTCCCGACCACCCAGGCCATGGTGAGTGAGGGGGGAAATTTTGGGAATTTCCTCCGGGATTTCTGGGATTTCTTGGGATTTGGAGAGTTGGGAAGAGGAGGAGATGAGAAAAGTTGGAATTCCTGGGAAATTCCCTGGGATTTCCTGCTGGGTTCCCTGGAATGGATCCGGGAAACTTTCCCAGAGCTGGGGAAACATCCCAGAAAAAAACGGGAATTTTGGGAATTTTTTCTGGGATTTCTGGGATTTTTTGGGATTTGGAGAGTTGGGAAGAGAAGGAGATGAGAAAAGTTGGAATTCCTGGGAAATTCCCTGGGATTTCCTGCTGGATTCCCTGGAATGGATCCGGAAAACTTTCCCAGAGCTGGGGGGGAAACATCCCAGAAAAAACTGGGAATTTGGGGAATTTTTTCTGGGATTTTTGGGATTTTGGGGATTTGGAGCCTTGGGGAGTGAGGATTGGTGGGAGGAGCTGGGAAAAGCTGGAATTCCTGGAGAATTCCTGGAATTTCCTGCTGTGAAAAGCTCTGGAAAACCGGGATTTCCAGGGAAAACTTCCCCGGAGCTTGGGGGGGAGCTCATCCCAAAAAAACCCTGGGATTGACAAATCCAGGGTGGGAACAGGCTCGGGTGGGAATTTCGGGAATATTCCCTTGGAAAAGGCTGGAATTCCGGGCCGGGATCCTCATTCCCATGCGGAATTCCCGAGGAGCTGCCGGGATTTGGGAATTCTCCCCGATTCCCGGTTTTTTTCCCAGGTTTTCCGTGGCCATTCCAGCCTGGTGCGGACTCTGAGCGTCTCTCCCAGCGGGCAGTGGCTGGTGTCGGGTACGGAGCCGGAATTCCCGGGAAAAACCCCATGGATCTGCGGCCGGGAGATGGGAATGGGAATGGGAATGGGAATGGGAATGGTCGGGAATGGTCGGGAATGGCTGGGAATGGTTGGGAATGGCCGGGAATGGCTGGGAATGGTCCAGAATGGTTGGGAATGGTCAGGAGTGGTCGGGAATGGGGAATGGGAATGGTTGGGAATGGTCAGGAATGGTTGGGAATGGTTGGGAATGGGGAATGGGAATGGCTGGGAATGGTTGGGAATTGCTGGGAATGGTTGGGAATGGTTGGGAATGGGGAATGGGAATGGTCGGGAATTGCTGGGAATGGTTGGGAATGGTCGGGAATGGCTGGGAATGCTCGGGAATGGGAATGGGAATGGGAATGGTCCGGAATGGTTGGGAATGGGAATGGCTGGGAATGGCTGTGCGTGGGAATGGTTGGGAATGGTCAGGAATGGTTGGGAATTGCTGGGAGTGGTTGGGAATGGTCAGGAATGGCTGGGAATGGGAATGGTCGGGAATGGTTGGTAATGGAAGTGGCTGGGAATGGTTGGGAATGGTCAGGAATGGGGAATAGAAATGGCTGGGAATGGCTGGGAATGGGAATGGGAATGGCTGGGGAATGGTTGGGAATGGTTGGGAATTGCTGGGAATGGTTGGGAATGGTCGGGAATTGCTGGGAATGGTTGGGAATGGTCGGGAATGGCTGGGAATGGTTGGGAATGGCTGGGAATGGGAATGGGAATGGTTGGGAATTGCTCGGAATAATTGGGAATGGTTGGGAATGGGGAATGGGAATGGCTGGGAATGGTCGGGAATGGTTGGGAATGGTCGGGAATGGTCGGGAATGGTTGGGAATGGTCGGGAATGGCCGGGAATGGTCGGGAATGGCTGGGAAGGGCCAGGAATGGCTGGGAAGGGCCGGGAATGGCCGGGAATGGTCGGGAATTGCTGGGAATGGCTGGGAAGGGCCAGAAATGGCTGGGAAGGGCCGGGAATGGTCAGAATTCCTGGCTCTGCTGTGGGAATCGGGAGGAGCTCGGGCAGGGAAAGGAAAAATGGGATCCTGATTCCGATCCTGATCCTGATCCAATTCTGATCCCAGTTCTGATTCCAGACTCAATCCTCCTAATCCTGATCCTGACTCTGATCCTGATCCTGATCCAATTCTTATCCCAATCCCGGTCCCAGTCTTGATCCTGATCCTGGTTTCGATCCCGATCCTGGTTCTGATCCTGATCCCTATGCAATTGTGATCCCGATCCTGATCCTGATCCTGATCCCGATCCTGATCCCAATCCCAATCCTGATCCCGATTCTGATCCTGATCCCAACCCCATCCTGATCCAAATCCTAATCCCAATCCTAATCCCAATCCCAATCCTGATCCTGATCCCCTTCCCAATCCTGATCTCAATCTTGATCCTGGCTGTGATCCTGATCCCAATCCTAATCCTGGTCCAGATCCTGATTTGGATTCTGATCCTGATCCTGATCCCGATCCAATTCTGATCCCAGTCTCAATCCCAATCCTGATCCCAGTCCTAATCCTGATCCCAAGCCTGATTTGGATTCTGATCCTGATCCTGATCCAATTCTGATCCCAGTTGTGATCTCAGCCTCAATCCCAATCCTGATCCCAGTCCCGGTCTTCATCCTGATCCTGATTATGATCCTCATACTGATCCCAATCCCGATCCCGATCCAGTCCTGATCCCAATCTCAATCCCAGTCTCGATCCTGATCCTGATTTCGATCCTGGTCCCAATCCCAATCCAAATCTAATCCCAGTCTCAATCCCAGTCCTGATCCTGATCCCGATCCCAATCCAATTCTGATCCCAATCTCAGTCCCAGCCCCAATCCCGATCCCAATCCCGATCCCGGTGTTCCTGACCCAGGCGGGAAAAATGGGAAAAATGGGAAAAATGGGAATGGTGTGATGGGGCAGGAGAGGGATCCAGGGAATTCTGGGTTCCAGGGAATTCTGGGAAATCGCTGGGAGTTTTTAGTGCCAGGGAATTGCAGCTGCCTGGGAATTCTGGGTTCTAGGGAATTCTGGCTTCCAGGGAATCGGGGATGCGGGAAATTTTGAGATCTAGGGAGTTCGGGGTACCAGGGATTCTGGGACATCGCAGGGAATTCTGGCTTCCAGGGAATTCGGGCTTCCAGGAAACCCCATTCCAGCTTTTTCCCCCATTCCCAGCACCGGGAATTCCCAGAATTCCCTCACCATTCCCTCAGCATTCCCAGAATTCCCTGGGCATTCCCAGAATCCCCCGGGCATTCCCAGAATCCCCCGGCATTCCGGTTGCAGGCTCGGACGACGGCACGCTGCGGTTCTGGGAGGTGAGCTCCGGGCGCTGCCTGCGGAGCGTTCCCGTCGGATCCGTGGTCGGGAGCGTGGCCTGGAATCCCAATCCCAGCCTCTGCCTGGTGGCCGCCGCCGTGTGAGTTCCAGGGAGCGCTCCCGGATTTTCCCGGAGCGCCCGAGGATCCCGATCCGGTCCTGGGAATGGTGGGATCCGTCCCTGGATCCCAATCCGTCCCTGGATCCCGATCCGGTCCTGGATCCCAATCCGTCCCTGGATCCCGATCCGGTCCTGGGAATGGTGGGATCCGTCCCTGGATCCGAATCCGTTCCTGGATCCAAATCCATCCCTGGATCCCGATCCGTTCCTGCGAATGGTGGGATCTGTCCCTGGATCCCAATCCGTCCCTGGATCCCAATCCATCCCTGGATCCCGATCCGGTCCTGGGAATGGTGGGATCGGTACCGGGATCCGAATCCGTCCCTGGATCCCAGTCCCAATCCGTCCCTGGATCCCAATCCGTTCCTGGGAATGGTGGGATCCGTACCGGGATCCGGATCCGTTCCTGGATCCGAATCCGTTCCTGGAACCCAATCCATTCCTGGATCTGAATCCGTCCCTGAATCCGAATCCATCCCTGGATCCGAATCCGTCCTTGGGCTGGTGGGATCTGTACCTGGATCCAAATCCATTCCTGGATCTGAATCTGTCCTTGGGCTGGTGGGATCTGTACCTGGATCCGAATCCGTTCCTGGATCCAAATCCATCCCTGGATCCGAATCTGTCCTTGGGCTGGTGGGATCCGTTCCTGGATCCAAATCCGTTCCTGGATTCAAATCCATTCCTGGATCCGAATCCATTCCTGGATCCAAATCCATCCCTGGATCCGAATCCATCCTTGGAACAGTCGAATCCATTCTGGAATGGATCCTGGATTTGTCTCCAATCCCAGATCCCCACTGATCCCAGATTTCCCCTCAGGTTCCGGATTTCTCTATCCCTGATCCCAGATTTCCCGATCCCTAGGGATGAGCAGGCTCCCCTGATCCCAGATTTCCCCCCTGATCCCAGATTTCCTCCCTGATCCCGGATTTCCGATCCAAATCCCGGAATTCCCAATCCCAATCCTGAATTCCAGATCTCTGATCCTCGATTTCCCAATCCCTGATCCCGGAATTCCGGCTCCCTAGGGACGAGCAGGCTCCCCTGATCCTGGAATTCCCGATCCCAATCCCGGATTTCCCAATCCCGGAATTCCCAGATCCCTATGGATGAGCAGGCTCCCCTGATCCCAGATTCCAAATCCCGGAATTCCCAACCCCGGAATTCCGGCTCCCTAGGGATGAGCAGGCTCTCCTGATCCCAAATTCCCAATCCCAATCCCGGAATTCCTGATCTCAATCCTGGAATTCCCGATCCCAATCCCGGAATTCCGGCTCCCTAGGGATGAGCAGGCTCCCCTGATCCTGGAATTCCCGATCCCTGATCCCGGAATTCCCAATCCCTGATCCCAGATTCTCGATCCCTGATCCCGGAATTCCTGATCCCTGATCCCGGAATCCCTGATCCCTAGGGACGAGCAGGCTCCCCTGATCCCAGATCCCCGATCCCTGATCCCGGAATTCCCGATCCCTAGGGACGAGCAGGCTCCCCTGATCCCAGATTCCCCCTGATCCCGGAATTCCCGATCCCTGATCCCAGATTCCCGATCCCTGATCCCGGAATTCCCGATCCCAATCCCGGGATTCCGGCTCCCCAGGGACGAGCAGGCTCCCCTGATCCCAGATCCCCCCTGATCCCGGAATTCCCGATCCCTGATCCCGGAATTCCCGATCCCCAGGGACGAGCAGGCTCCCCTGATCCCAGATCCCCCCGATCCCAGAATTCCCGATCCCTGATCCCAGATGCCCTCTGATCCCGGAATTCCCGATCCCAATCCCGGAATTCCCGATCCCCAGGGACGAGCAGGCTCCCCTGATCCCGGAATTCCCGATCCCTGATCCCAGATCCCCTCTGATCCCAGAATTCCTGATCCCTGATCCTGGAATTCCCGATCCCTGATCCCAGATTCCCGATCCCCAGGGACGAGCAGGCTCCCCTGATCCCAGATCCCCCCTGATCCCGGAATTCCCGATCCCTGATCCCGGAATTCCCGATCCCAATCCCGGGATTCCGGCTCCCCAGGGACGAGCAGGCTCCCCTGATCCCAGATCCCCCCGATCCCAGATCCCCTCTGATCCCGGAATTCCCGATCCCTGATCCCGGAATCCGGCTCCCCAGGGACGAGCAGGATCCCCTGATCCCAGATCCCCCCTGATCCCGGAATTCCCGATCCCTGATCCCGGAATTCCCGATCCCTGATCCTGGAATTCCGGCTCCCCAGGGACGAGCAGGCTCCCCTGATCCCAGATTCCCCCTGATCCCAGAATTCCCGATCCCTGATCCTGGAATTCCGGCTCCCCAGGGACGAGCAGGCTCCCCTGATCCCAGATGCCCTCTGATCCCGGAATTCCCGATCCCAATCCCGGAATTCCCGATCCCCAGGGACGAGCAGGCTCCCCTGATCCCAGATCCCCTCTGATGCCGGAATTCCCGATCCCTGATCCCGGAATTCCGGCTCCCCAGGGACGAGCAGGCTCCCCTGATCCCAGATGCCCTCTGATCCCGGAATTCCCGATCCCAATCCCGGAATTCCGGTTCCCCAGGGACGAGCAGCTGTACAGCTGAATCCGGGCCTGGGCGATCGGCTCCTGGTAGCGGCCACGGATCAGCTGCTGGATTCCTGGGAATGTCCGGAGGAGGAGCGGATCCAGCCGATCCCCTGGATCCCGGCCGGCCCCGAGGAGCGCTCCAAGGGGATCCGCCTGCGGCTGCCCCACGGAAAGGTGGGAGCCGCGCAATTCCCGGGATTCGGGGGGGGGGATTTGGAATTCCCGGGATTTGGGGGCGTTTGGAATTCCCGGGATTCGGGGGGG